AATGAAATGACATTTCGTCTCTATTTCTGATTATATACTCGATGGGAGAAAGCATTTTCGTTTTTCTATGATAGTTACTTGTAATAGAAGATATTAAATTTTGGTACGACTATTTGTCATATTAATCTTTAATTCTTCGCATTGCAAACTGATCAACGTATTTATTAACGCAGCAACCAGGAATTTAGTACACGTGCATCTTCTTTACAAAAAAACGTGCTATTTCTTTTAGCATGGACCTTGACTAATTGTGAAGAGGACTGCTAATCACGATACAAGACAGTGTAGTCGGGTAATTAGTACCTATTGGTACAACAGAAGGCGCGACGAGTACCAAATAGTTATTTTTGTCACTAATTTATTTTCACATCGACTAGCTGCAACTTATCAAAACTCTGCCCGCCGCTAACTAAACCGCGGTTATGTGAAAAAGTATGGTTTTTTGAGATATTATAATAAACCATAACCCAGGTTTAGAATATTGAAATTGTTTAAAGATATTTCAGCTATGCATCGTTAAGGTAGGCTCCAATAAGTCGAATTTTTTTAACTGTTTTTAAAAAGAGGAGGAGGTTCTCAAGTCGATTGTATGTTTTTTTTTGTATGTTACGCGATAACTTCTATATTTGTGAACCGATTTTCATGATTCTTTTTTGTTGGAAAGGGGGTACTTCCATAGTGGTCCCATTTCATTTTGAAGAACATCATCCACCTCTAAGGGTGGCTGTTCACGCATGAAGATTCATTTTTATAAATAGCGCCTAAATTTTACTTAACAAGGCGTTTCTCTCTCAATATACTTTGAGTAGTGAGAACCGATTTTTCTTATCTCCAGTGTCAAGTCCTGTATAGTGGCGAATTTAAGGATATTTCAATAAAACTTAGCAAATAGACGTAATTCCGCGCACTTTTGAGGTCGGTTTTTTTAGTACTCTGTTGTGAGATTATTGCTGTTTAAAACGGTTATTTGACGATTTGTCTCATAGCCGCGTTTTATTTAGTGGACGGCAGAGCTACTCTAGGCATTTCTGGTCATAACAAACAAATCAACTAGATGGCGCTTATTTTCTATTTTTTATAGATACTCCCGGCTTTTCCTTTATTTTGTTTAGGATTAGCGCCATCTACCCATATTAGAAAGCGTTAATTTATAAATTAGTTTGTTACACACAATGCCATTTATTGATATGTATATTTGTCAAAGTTCAGAAAATAATTTTAGCTCATAGTAAATATTTGAATAATATTACACGGAACAAAACTGACTACTTGTAATTGAAATATAATAAATAAATAAAATAAATAAAATTGTTTATTCAGTAACATAATGTACAGAGAAAACTAAAGACTACTTATGCGATTTAATGTAAAAATAACACATGTACCTGAACTAGGAAAGTCCTGTATTTCAGGTAAAAAGTACTACTAATTATAAACGTGGATACTGTTAATATTATAAATACTTTTTAGGAGAATCTTATGAAATAAAATTAAACAATTAAACAATATATTGCCAATCAAAAAAATGTACACTTAAATAAGACAACGTTTATTTTACGATAATAAATAAATTCTCTGTATCCTCATAGGACATATTTTGAAGAGCTTCTTGGAGAATTTTCTTTACCTTAAAGCAACAGAAATTATAAATGGAATATTTGGCGTTTAATTTATTGTACAAAAATGGTCCAAGAAACACAAAAAATCTTGAAATAAAAGTATGTTTTGATGATATAATTTTGGGGCAGACAATATCTTTTCGTCTTTTATTATAGTTTTTAGTAATATATGGGAGTAATACGTGCTGTTTGAGAACTGTGGACTTAATAAATAATTGCCTTACAGTTAATACTTTACATGACTTATACAGAAGGTCAGTGGGGTAACGGAAAGGGCGGTAGAAAACTTTAGGACAGCTCGCTGGGCTCTTTCAATGATTAGTAAATTAGTTTTAGCTATACCACCCCATGATGTAATGCAGTAAGTAATTAATGATTGGCATAATGCACAATAAACTTGCCTGATTATTTTAAAATCAGCAGAAACGCGTAGTTTTTTTAACACAAACATTAACATACGGAGTCGAGCGCTTAATGCTTCGATATGGTGTTTAAAGGATAGGTTATGATCTAATATAACACCTAAATACTTTATCTTGTTAGTAATAGCAATGTCTGGACATTTACACAGGTTGTTAGTAGGCTCAAAACAATGGTGAGCATATAGTTTAGGGTTAGATATAAATGACTTTGATTTCCGCATATGGAATTGCATAAAACAAGTTTTATTCGTATTTAGTGTTAGCAAATGATGTTGGAGCCAGTTATTTACTATATTGAATCCACGCTGTGCATAGTCGTATACCTCCTTGTCAGAGTTTGCAGAAAAGAGTAGAACAGTATCATCAGCATAGGATATAATCTTTCCACCTTGTAAATCTAGGTTACAAAGGTCATTAATGTAAATATAATAATAATAATAGTAATAATAAAATAATAATAATAATAATAGTCTTTATTTCTCTCTTTACAAAGTTATCTTATAAATAAAAGTGGTTTACATTATGGACTTATCATTAGTATACCTTTGCAAGAGACTGGAGTCCATACTAGGATTTAACTTGTGTGACTGATCTCCAGGATATACATAAAGAGGAAACATATAAGTATATACATAAAAAAGGATATATATAAAGGTCATCCACGGCCATTTACACAATATAACCTAGGTACTTCGGAACACCGACTTTGACTACAAAACAATTCACAGTTTTATAATAATAATAACATAAAAAGCTGTTGAAATTGTCGTAGAACATAACAAAAATTATTACTATGCCGAAGCATCAAACACATGCTATAAAAATATCAATAAAATATACTTTTATTAGCCATCCAGTTTTTTTTTCCAATTTGAACATTTCTATAAATACACAATACAATATTTCACTAATGATCCTACAACACAAACCAGTGAAATGGCAAACTCCTAACTTACGGTCAAAACTAAAAATATTTTTTAAATGAATATTTTTTCAATGAATGTACGTTTTTTTAAGTGTTCCATTAAAATTGAGCCAGTAATAAGTAGGTAGTATTGTAAACCAAATGATATGGAAATAACGTTTTAATATCCAAGAATCTATTTTTTTTAAATAATCCTCTTGTGTACTTTATGGAAAAGCTTATAAGCTTTTCCGTAAAGTACACAAGAGGATTATTTTTAAGGTAAAAAACGTTGCCTTATGAAAGTTATTTTCGGAAACATTATTAATATTTCCTGTGCAAGTTGATTGAAAAAACATTGACTCTATAAAGTGGATTTTAATGTAATCAATCAATCTTTTTAATGGAACCAATCCCAACATGATCAAATTGTTATAATTATTAATACGAACAAAGAAAAATTCCTGCGATCTGACTGCACGAACTTTTGTCTGTATGCCAACTAGGGTTAGCAAATACTGACTTATACTTTCCGGGACAACTCTGCTAGGACAAGGGAGACGGGCCGAAGCAAAATATATATGAAAATAGTAGCAGTAGAGCTATTTGTGATAGTAGCAGTAGAGCCTAACCTTGGCCTTAAGAACCGTACCTATTTCTGCCGCCAAGCAGTAATGTCAGCATTACTGTGTTCCGGTTTTGAAGGGTAAGGGTGCTGGCATAATTACAGGCACATGGCACATGTCAATTTATGTCTCAGGGTGAAGGGCGCAGTGGCAATTTAAAGCTCTGGGGACACTGCAACTGTTATGGACAGGCGTGCAGCTTACCATCAGGTGCACGACTTGTTCGTCCCGTTACTTGATATTATAAAAAAAATCCCGCGGCAATTGCCGGAACTAATTTGTCAGATGGCTATCTATCTAATTTGATGGTCATAACATGACTGTAACATTGTTTACTACTATCTTTTGGGAGTTTTTAATACCCATTACGTGCCTACAAACTTTACGTCACTCGCAATCAATAATTCGACATTCCTTCCCACGACCTCCTTCCTACACTTCTACAGCGCTGCGTTTGAGGGACATCTTTTATGAAAATAAACCTAGGAAGTTTGTAAAAACAACTTCTAAATGTTTGTAATCCGGGACAGTAAAGTCTAAAATTCCAGGACAATCCCGAATTTCCGGGCCATCTGACATGCCTAATGCCAACCTAGGGCAACCGCTCTACCAACTGAACTACAGATCGAGACAACAGGCCTTGCGAATACAAAAATTAATTGTTTCGTTGTTTTAGTATACACCCATTACATAATACAACACATTACATTAAATAATTAAACAGTACATTACATAACATAACATTTATATTGAATTTTACTAACAGAAAATTATTATTAATGAAGTAAATAATTAAGAATTAAATTAAATTGAATTCAGAGTGCAAATTCTAATTATTACCACTACTATTAACTATTATAATAGTTTAGTAGGTGAAAAGTCACCAGTTTGTTATACTCGTAATTATTAATACAAACACCGAACACAAAGAAACAGCAGTTATGTTCGTTGCTTATTGAAACTCAATAATAATGCACGTCTATTGCCAATTAAGAGCTTGTGTGAACAACAATACGCTCTGTGTAACGGGGTATTTGATAGTTTGTTTACATTTAAGCGTGAACATACAAAGAGCGAGAGCGGAACGGGCGCGTGTCGGATCGGGTCGGGCGGGTCGGGCGGGATGGGCGGGACGGGCTCACACGCCCGCACTAGGTGTGTTGTCGTCCATATGAATAATACAGGGAACTAGACCCGTAGCGGTGAATTTAATAATAAGGTTTTAGTTGAAAATTGTACATTTGAAGAAAATATTCCACCTTTAAGGGTGGAAAATTAGGGGATGAATCCAATTTGTCGAATTTCACCCACTTTGTATTAACCGACTTCAATAAAACTCAGCAAATAGATGTAATTCCACAAGTTTTAACATTATTTAGGTTACCTATGCCAATTTCTAATGTAGCTAGAATTTAATATGCTTATTCAGCCACCTCGACCTGTCAAGCCATGGAAGGGAGTATGGGACGCCACAGGACCCGTTGAAAACTGTTTGCAGTACGATCCTGTTGTACAACAAATTATGGGTAAGCAAAAAGTAGAAATAATGTTAGTCTGCATACTGCATCAATTACATCGTCTAAATAAAGATATGCTAAATATTGCGGTTCAAAATTATGAAGATATTTATATTCTTTGGTAATTATCTGATAATTAACCAATGTAGCGTGGTGAGCGGAGGGGGTGCGTAGAAAATTGAGACGCAGACGGAAAATGCCCAAGGCGTGTATTAAATAAAAGACAAAACAAAAAGTAATGCGGCTAGGGACCCAACAGCGCAAAAAGCGGCATTTTACTGTACCAATTTTTTTTAATGTTCCAAAAAAGTTAACATATTGCTCTGACAAGTAGGTACAGCTTCACTGTGTCTTCCTTTATTTTTTTCCATCCTCTAAGGTCTAGCTAAACAATAGGCGTACAAATGTTTTCTATATTTATTACATGCAGTTCATCAACATCCTCTCCTTAAACTCTTATCCTATCAACAGGCGCAGAAGATTGCCTCTTCGTAAATATCTACTCCCCCAGCCTCAAAGAAAACGCAAACCTACCAGTCATGGTGTTCATCCATGGAGGAGCGTTCATGTACGGCAGTGGTTCTGTATACGATCCCACTTTCATCATGGACTGGGACATGGTTGTCGTCACTTTTAACTACAGAGTCGGACCGCTCGGTGAGTTAGACGGTTTTAACGAGTTCTTGAGTTTTCACGATTGTTACACATCTAAATAACGTATATTTGTCATTTACAGGTCCCATGATTATGGCTTATAGTCAGCCGTGACCATATAAGGGACCCGAAACTTTGGTTTGTTAGAAAAATACAAACGCATGATTTAGACCCGAAAAAAGTTTCATTTCCTATAAACAAATTAGACCTAAAATAAAAATGTAAAATAAACGACCAGATTTAAAAAACACACTGCAATACTATGAGGATATCGTAGTACCAGCAGGCTGATTTTAATTCAAATGGGAATCGATCCGATCGGGTCCATCCGAGTCTCGAAATCAGATGGGTTTCCGAGCGAGAAGATGAACCTGATTCCTACTATATCTTTCTAATATATGAGTTAAATTAACAATTATTCCGATTTGAAATGTCAAAGTTTCCGATCGGCCAGTTGTGAATCGCAACGCCTCGAGTCGGAAGAGACGCAGTTTCCGATCGGGAGAGACAATCAAAATCAAGCTGCTGGTAGCAGTAGAGCTCTTTGTGAAAGAGTTCATCCGGGGAAGTAGTGCCACCTTAGCTATTTCTACCGCCAAGCAGTACTGTGAGCTTTACTGCGTTCCTGTTTTGAAGGGCAAGGGACTTGTCAACTTATGTCTCCTATGTGCATCTCGTATCTTTGCGATTAAAAGCTCTTCCCTTACCCTTCAAAACCGGAAGCAGTAATGGTCACATTATTGTTTTAGCGACAGAAATACGTAAAATGGTAGTGTTTTCTTGGATGACCTCTTTCACAAGGAGCTCTAATGCTGCTGAATGGCTATTATATTATTGGCTTACAGTCTCACACATACTCTTCACAACGTGGTTGTAGTATCTAATCGATTAACTTACCTTGCAAACCTTTCCCAAGAATAAAATGATCCGATATTTTCACATTGATCTGACCATTCTTACCAACTCAGTATCGAAAAACCTTTACCCAAGGTCATTGAACTTCTAAAAAAAATATTTCTACTATATTGACAGGTTTCCTAAGCACTGGGGACAAAGCAGCTCCAGGAAACATTGGCCTGAAGGATCAAGCCTTCGCGTTGCACTGGATAAAGAAGAACATCAAAGTGTTTGGAGGCAACCCTGACAGCATCACATTGACGGGCAGCTCCGCCGGTGGCGCTAGTGTTCATTACCATTTACTGTCACCTTTGTCCAAAGGTAAGGTGATATTTAAACCGGGAGCCTACTCTCGTCATCGAGTATATAACTAGAAATAGAGACGAAATGTCATTTAATTTATTTGAAACCTGTGACAACTGCACTCCGATTGGCCAGCCCAATTCGAAATATTTGGCGGGTGTCGTCAATAGGTGTCGTCAATTGTTTCACTTCAAATCGACCAGTTAACTTGAGCTTTGCTATAATAGACGAAAATTGCAAAAGTACATATTTAATATTTAATTACCGATGAAATTTGATTCCGTTTGTTTCGTAATTAGATGTATTGTGTTTTTCCCTACACCACCGAATTGAACAGCCATATTGTTAGAGATATTATCTTTATTACAATAAATACACAATATTTTTGGAATATACGGAGACATACACACAGGTCAGTTGTTGGCGCCGTCTTTATTTCAGTGCAAACGAGAGCTGATATTTATAAGTGATGTATCACTGATAAGTTACCAGAAATGTATGGCCCTTATTTCGTCTCTATTTATGGTTATATACTCGATGACACGTATAAAGCTTCATTCATCATACGTCTTTTAAGTTCGTCCAGTATTGCTTTTTTCTTTTTTTGTTTATATATTAAGTAGGCAGCAAACAAGCTTACGGCCCGTTTGTGACGAAAAATATTGCTTCTACAATATTTAAGTGATTATTGTCATTGCATCATAAAAATGCAGATGTTGTTTTTTCACATTTGGTCGGTTCGATTCCCAAAAGAGACAAGCAACTTTAAAAAATTTTTGAAAGCTTTTAAAGATAAAAAAGTCTTCTCATATATTTCAAATATTCTTTCTACAATATTTTAAGCGCTTTCTCTTCGTGTCCCATAACCGTGAAACGCCCTATGTACTGACCCGCCGTTTCTTATTGAGGTAGTTTGAGACTATGGACTTACACCCACAACGCTCATGACATACTTTTATAAGACTAGAATATATTTAAAAACTATATTATCGTTATCGTGTTCCGTTTTTGTATGGTTTTAGAGAAAACTCACCTCGATTTTTATGCTTAGAAATTTAAAAAAAGATTGAAGCTCGAAAAATAATAATATTACATTTATATTTTACATTTTAAATTACTCCACTAGTTTGTTATAATTAATCGAACACTTAGAAAAAACTCCTTCGGTCCGGCCGGACGCGAACCGACTTCTCTTAGCAAACCGCACAAGACTCTATGCCAACTAAGCAACGGAACGAACCAGAGATCCTACTGAATTTTTCTGAGTGCTAGTTATCGGATCTTTGTATTCGGTTTTCAACGACTTTTTAGCTTTAGCGCCATCTAAGAGAAATCTATGTAAGTATTTCGTCACCCAGTTAGATATTTTTACAGCTACCAGCCCAGGCTAAAGAACAGCAATTAAATTTTTATTGAATTTAATTAAGTTTAACTGGAATTTGAAACGCTATTTATTAAGCTTTGTCGCTTTTCCAAAATGCAAGCGTTATGTTATTAAAATCGAAAATTTCCTTAAACTGGTTATAACTTTTTTTTATGTTATTTCACATTAGTAGCACCCATAAATTATTTGTAAAGAATAGTTAACTACACAAAACTGTTCTCCCAAAAAAAACCAGCTCTTAAAGCCGTGAACCTACGGCGATATGCGAGTCAAAATTTATTTAAATTCGGAACGCCTGAAATTTTATTGAAAGCAAAACTTTATTAGATGTTTTTGCTATTTATCGTATTTATTTCAATTAACTTACTACCCCATGACACAGCATTTTTAATTTTAATAGTAATATGTGTATAATGTTGTTGATTTGTTATCCTTTAAGAATAAATATATAAACTAAACAAACTGAAAACTCACTTTTTAAGTCGATTATAAATTATAGGTAGTAATAATATCATAAATTGCTCTTTGTAAGCTTATACATATTGCGGGAATCAGAAAATTGACGCTTTCGATTATTCATCGTTCTTCATCAACCTATTTCAGTCCACTGCTGGACATAGGTCTCCCCCAATGTGCGCTACTTTGCCTGGAAAACAGCTTGTTGTCCATCGTAATTAAAACCATTATAAACGTTGCGTTAGTTTTGCTTCCAATTTCGCAGTTCAAATAACAGTGAATTGAACTGAATCTGACATTGTTATTTCTGACAAACTGGGTGTAAATTATTCGATATTGAACCTTGCTAGCGTAAATTTTCAGCTCCAGATTATGACCTAGTTTGAAACTTGATTAATTCATAATAGAAAATTTCGCATCACATGCCTTAGTCAAATGAAGAGTCCTGGGAAAGAACGACCTAAAAACATGTTTTGAGTTAATACCGCCATCTAATTAGTTAAAAACTTAGCGCATTTTGCCTAAATCAGGAAAACGTTAATAAGGTTCAATATCCTGAAAAATTAACGTTTAGTTTTGGGCATAAAATGATTGAGATTAAATAATAGAATAGTTGAAAAAGATTTATAAAGGTTTTTTAGGTAAAATGGATTACATAGGGTTACACACATTATGTCAACATTCACTTTATTTCAGGTAGCATTTTTGCTTGTCTTTTTCACCAGCATTGACAAGTTTTCCAAATTAAATATTCTTGTTTCCTAAACTCCTCCTCAGGTAACTTTGATAATTCTTTCCCTGGACTCTTCAAATGTAACGAACACGGTCTATTTTAGCCAATATATAATTATAACTTTTATATTAAAAAAACCGAGCCCAAAAGATTGAAATTGAAATCGATTGGAAACGGCAAATAGGATGTATGGCCAGACTAAATAAGTAAGTCAATCGATAGAGCACTATGGGTATTTATTACATATGAAAAAATGGAGCACAGAGATATTACATAGATTACTACGACGTTAGTAAATACTTATAACAGAAACTAATACAAAATTACAGCAGAAAAGACGCGTGCATATGAAAAACTTCTAACTGGAACCATTTGTTCTCTGCCAGTGTTAAACGCGGACTCTTGGATACTCACTGGAGCGTACGGGGGTGCGGGTCGTTAATCACGCAAGTCCTTTCGTTATTACCATATTTGGTCGTGAAAAAGTGATATCTTGACAAAGCAGGGTCGACGGCGAGAAGCGCCATATACATTCGCAAAGGCTAATTAATCTATTTCCTCGCGGATGGGTGGTCGTCACGATATCGGGTAGGACGCTTTCGAATACGCTTCAGGCGCACTAGATGGGGTTGACACGCTATAGATGATTTTTTTAATATCAAGTGACGGGACGAACAAGTCGTGCGCCTGATTGTAAGCTACACGCCTGTTCATAACCATTGCAGTGCCACTCAGAGCTTTGAATCGCGAAGATCATTTTTTATTTTATTTTATTTTTTTATTGTGACTCGGCAAAATGACTGCACCGCGCCTGATGGAACGTGCGAATACAGTCCAGAGATGAGAGTAACGGATGGAAAACACAAATATCTTCACTCCGTCACTATCATTTTGCCGGTCTGGCCAAATGCTTCTTCACACTACGTTTGAAGGACCCGATGTTATAGAGGGGAGGGAATACATGCGCCGGGAGTTGGTTCCACAATTTGATGGTTCGGCATAAAAACGAATTGCCTAACTTTTTAGTGCGGGACGGTATTGAACTTACCGTCCAACTGTGGCAACGCAGTCCGGCACGGGTGGTCCGCTGATGGAAAGAAGAGGAAGGGATAAGGTTGAATAACTGCTATGTATGAGAGTAAAAGGAAACAACTGTCACGTATCGAAGCCGGTTTATTACTCGTCATTGATGCGGCGCGCAGCGCCATACTTATGGATATATCTACATATATACCAATTCTCTCTCTTTTAATTTGAGAACCTGACAACAATAAAATTTAATTATTAGTAATATTTCTTATAATCTATTTTTAATCTAGGTCTAAGATGGCGGCGAACGGGCGTCAGTAAGTCATTGTGCGGCACCTGGTTATAATTACTATCACTAGTTGACTGCCGTCCGTTTTCCACACAACCCGAAGGCGCGTTATTCTCGCCCTGTATGAGAGTTGCCGCCGGCTCGTCTCTCGCCTCCGCCCACTCGTCATCGCAGCCCTCATCGTTATCGGTCATTAAATGCCTTTCACTTTCTTGTGACTGTGAATTATTAGCAAGTCGTACGTTTTCGGGCGAACGCGTGGGCGACGTCGATGGAGCGCGTGGCTGGGAGCTCATTGGCGCGGCAACATTGCAGACACCACTGTCTGTGCCTTGATTTAGTGCAATCGCTACACCGGTGTACATAATAATCTGATCTACGTGTCGTCTACACATTACATTGAAATCATTAACAAGTATTTCGAACATTCGTCTGCCTATTTTCTTAATAATCGTACCGAGTGTCCAAACCTCCTTCCTCGCTTTATACCACCTAAGCCAAACATAGTCACCCACTTTAAATTGCCTACAGTTATTTAAATGGTTATCGTTATTTTGTGTCATTTTTGTTTTTAATTTATCTGGAAGAATTAAATCCAGTCTGGTACGCAATTCACGTCCAAACATAAGTTTTGCAGGTGTTTCACCTGTTGAACATTGTTTCGTATTACGATAATCAAATAAACAACCCCACAATTTTTCATCTATGACATTTGCCGATAAATTTTCAAATTTTAAGCATTTTAACATTTTTTTGCAAGTTTTCACAGAATTTTCTGCCTGTCCGTTACTAGACGGATGATAAATGGGAGATGTAATGTAACGAATTCCGTTTTTGGAGCAAAAATTATTAAACTCCAACGAATTTATCTTAACATCATTATCAGAAACAATAACAATTGGTATGCCAAATCTCGAAAATAAACATTTCAATTTTACAATTAATGCGTAAGTTGAGGTACCACAATTCATATGGACGCATTCCAGCCATTTGCTATACGCATCTATAACTATGAGATACACGCGCTGTCCAAATGTCATATAATCGATGTGCAGGCGCTGCCACGGCCCGGCCGGCTGCGGCCATGAAGCGGGCGCCGCGCGAGGCGGAGCACTGCGAACACTAAC